CTGACAGCGCCGGCGCCATCACGAAGAGGCCCCTGTACTTCCTCCATTCGATCCGCCAGCGCCGCCATCCTCTCCACCTGGGTTCGGTGGTGGCCAAGACATTCGAGAAGACGGCCACAGAGCTGAAGAGCCTCCATTGCGCCCCCCTCATCACCCGCCTGGTCACCTTCTTTGGCCTTTCACTGCAGGGGTGCACCGAGGAGGGGGACACCCTCATCTTTGGCAGCGCGACGATCGGGAAGATGCTGCTGTTGCGGGAGAGGAACGGTGTTCAGTGGGTCGATGGATTTCTGGAGCCTCCTATCCCCGAGGAGCTCGTACCAGAGGAGGAGGCTGCCGATGAGGTGGATGTTGCTGCTGATGCTGCTGATGATCCCCCACAGACTGACTTCCATTTTGGGGGTAGCAGCTCCACTTTCCAGGGCCAGGATTACTTCGCCCAGCAGTTTGAGCAGCTGAGGATCCAGAACCAGCTGATCCTCGACCAGCAGATGCAGTTCCACCAGCAGTACGCGGCCGATCAGGCCGAGTACCGGAACAGGATGGATGCTTATGACGTGCGGCTGAACACGATCCAGACTCAGCAGGACGTGACTCTCGCCCACATCGAGCGGGAGAAGCGCCGTTCCCGACGCATGCAGGAGGTTCAGCAGCACCTGCTTCAGCTGATTCCGGGCGATCCACCTGTCTGGAGGACTCCCTAGGATGACTCCCCTCCACATGACGGTGCGGCTGGCACTGCTGGTGATGATGCGTTCATGCACGACATCGACTTCGACGATCTTGGCGACGAGTAGGTTGTACTCGTTGCCCGTCTCAGTGTGTTTGTTTTTTCTTTTTAGACTTTTGTGTGTTTGCTCCATGTGTGCGGAGCTTGAACTTAGTACCGTTTGTGTTTGTTTTTGGTTTTTCCTTTGTGGTTTGATGTAGCCGTCTGGGCTAACACTTATCCCTAACGCACAGTGTGCTAGTGTGTTTCTGGTGTTCGATTTGTGCAGCATTGTCCACTCTCCCGTTTGTTTCTCGCTGACTGGTCCACTTCCAGTCCCCCAGCAGTGTTCCAATCCGGTAACATCGTTCCCCTGATCTTTCCCTCTACTCCATTGAGGGCAATGTCGTGCTTAAGTGTGGGGGGGTGCTTTGTATCGGTTGGAATATTTATAATAGTATTTTGAGTCCAAGAATAATAGTGCAAAATAGAAAAAATGGGTCGGGGGAGAGTGCAGCTGAAGAGGATAGAGAACAAGATCAACAGGCAGGTGACGTTCTCAAAGAGGAGAGCTGGTCTGCTGAAGAAATCCCACGAGATCTCTGTTCTCTGCGATGCTGAGGTCGCCCTCATCGTCTTCTCCCACAAAGGGAAGCTCTTCGAATACGCTACCCGCCTCTGAGCTCACTTTGTAGTGCGGGGAGTTGCTTCGATTTTCCGAAAGCTGATTACTTTAGGGAATAATTCTGCGGCTCAAGGGAAATACCAGAGATTGGATTTTATAAATACAGAAATGAAACGGGAGAGAAAGAAGGCTCGTCGGGGAAGAAGGAGGAAGAAGATGGAAGATAGGGTTTGTTTGGGTTTGATCGAAAAGGACAGAAGGTGAGGGGATAAGGTGGGGATGGATGGGCCAAAAGTTTTTGTTTTTGTTTTTTTTTTAATTATTTAATTTTGTAAATGAAATAAAATGAAAAATGAAATTATAATTTTTTATGCTGACATGGCAGTGACCTGGACAGTTGACTAACGGTCAACGGTGTTGACCGTCCAAACAAACGGTCAAACCACGCTCCATGCCAATTTTGTCTATATGCTGCATAGTTCGGGCCAGGATGTTAATTTCTCAAACCACTGGCCAAAGTTGATTACATGGTCATAGTTCAGGCCATAACAAGGTATTAACCCGAATATTTATGATGGTGCTTCGAGCCTAGTCCGCTGTCCGAATCTTACGATTTGAGGGCTCCAAGTACTGCTGTTTGATCATATTGGCACTGTGTTTTGATGGATGAATTGATTGGTTTTCGGATGAATGCATGACAACTTGTTTGCGACTAGGACAACCTATGATGAGGACTGAGATGTGCAGTAGAACGATGTAGGGGTTCAGTTTTTCAACTGTTTGCTTGCCAACTGTGACTTGATCTGACTTGATCTGATTACTTGTTCTTGACAGTCGTTTATGCATCTAGTTCAGGGTATCAGAATGTGAGATAGAGCATATAGGTAGCAATGTGAGATTTGAGCCTGCTCGTTTCTTTCTTGTGCGATAGATCCCTCTTCCATGATGTGTAGCATTCACGTTGTCACTAGCTAGGATGATGGGGGCATAGGATTAGCCCACGCCCAAAACTGACTGTCCTGATGTGTCATATCCCGTAGTCAGCCCCTTTGAGCCGTGTGTTATCCTTTCTTTTGGTCTATAATGGAAAAAATCACCCTTGTTGCATCTTTTAGAAGGTTCCACAGAGTGGTTTTGACATATTCTCTGCTGTTTCTGCTAAAGTCTATGTGAGTGTTGGAGGTAGTGCTTAAAAGTTGGCAGGTGCTTGAAATTTATGCAGAAGTGGTGGCTCTCTTAAGAAATGAAAAGAAAAATGAAAGTGAAACAAAGAAAAAATTGAAAGCAAAAGAGAGCCACTACTAAAAATCTGAATAATGCCCAGTAAGTAGTGTTTCTTAGCAGTCTGGCTTGGAAATGCTGATGTTTATGCCTCCTTCGCTCTTGTGATCTTAAGATATTGAGAATGCAGAATAGCAGAAAGAAAATACCGGGTTGTTTGACTGTGATTGTGTGTTTGGAAAATGTGGAACCTTTTTGCTATGAATACTTCCACCACCTAAAAGGCCTTTTCCCCATGTCCAAGACCCTAGCCAGTCATTTGAACCTGTGTCTAAGACCTCCTGATTAGTTAGTGGTGACACCCCATATGTGAACTCTAGCATTTAGAGGCTGCCATCATGGTGAAGAGATGATAGGGATTGAGAGAAATAGCATGCGCATCTTTCGCATCAAATTGTCCTGACCCCACTGGTCGAGAGTGAGTGATTCATTTTCATTTTCTATATGCTCTCGTACCCCGGTGAGGACCTAGATTGCTCGGTCTCTATTCTGATGTCTTGAGTTGGATGCATGAGTTGACTGTTTTGAGTAAGTGGTTGAATCAAGTCTAGGTTGGCTAGTGAACAGAAGGGAGACTCTTCCTTTACTCGATTTGCTGTACTCGAATGTCCTTTGTGGTGGTTGTCCAGGTTGTTATTGAGGTTGTGCATGTATTGATGTTTGAAAACCAGTGCGATTCACGTGTTCTGTGCCTTTATGACTTGTCCCCAATGTTGGTTGATTGAAATATGTAAGCTTACCTAGTGTCTGACTTGGTTTGCTTGGGGACAAGCAAACGGTTAAGTGTGGGGGAGTTTGATAGACCATCATTTACACATGTTTTTACCCTCGTTCTTACACCGTTTGAGGTGTTGATTCTCGTGTTTTAGGCCGATTTCACGCTAGGTTGTGCTTGTTTGTGATATTTCAGGTCCTAGTACGTGAATGAAGGCTTAGGAGCGAGTCTGGGGTCGATTGGACGAAGAACGGACGAATGGCGAGCTTTTTGGGGAGCTGCACGGGCAGACCAGGGAGGCTGCACGGCCGTGCAAAGTGCAACTCTGGCCATGCGGTTTTGGCCGAGGCCGAGCACGGGCACCCCTGAAGATCTGCACGGCCGTGCACTCTGGCCGTGCAAGATGGCTGAAGGTCGAATTTAATGATACGACACATTTTGGAGTGCACGGCCAGACTGGTAATGTGCACGGCCGTGCACCCTGGCCGTGCGAGTCGGGGAAGCCTGGTTTTAGAGCCTATTCCGAGCCAAAAGTGGGAGAATCGTGTTTTCAGAGCAAAAACAGAGCCCTAGAGAGAGAAAGTGCGAAGAACACATCCTAGAAGCTGTCTTAGAGCTGGATTTCATCGAATCGAGCTTGGAGATCGTCATAGGAGTGGAAATCATCGTCCCGGAGCAGATTATCCTCATCGTTATGAGTATGACTAATCCGATTCTTGTTTTCTCTTCTCTCTCTATGGAGTAGAACCCTTCTCTCACTTGGGTATGAAGAACCCTGGTTCCTTGTGTTAGGGATTTGATTGTAATGACTTGGGATGATATTACTGTTTGATTTTAATCGAATGACGCATGTTTATTGAATTGATTTGAGTCTGATCAGCTTGTCACAATTTCTGCTTCAACCTGAGATAGATAGAATCTGATTAGGTTGTTAGAGCCTCTTCATTCGATAGTAGGAGATTGGCTATACGAGAGGTAGCCAGTTTACTGCTTTGTACTGGTGTTCTTGGCGCCAGTAGTGGAGTTCTGTGTTCATAGCCTCAGCTTTCTATCCCGGTGAAGACTAGTCGTCTGCCGGGTAGTTAGACTGAGAGGGCTTGGTCAGCTTAAGAGATTCCAAGCTACTGTCGGATCTTCCGCAGTCTAATCAACAGTAAATCAACCCAGGGAATTGCAATTGAACCTAACTAAGGGGCTAGGGGGACTCAATCCCGAGTGACTCTTGCCTGCTTTAGAAACCCGAACAATTTACTGCTTTCTTGTTGCTTTTACTTTTCACAACAATCACTCGAACTAGTTTGCTAGATAATAGAGAATCACGGAGTAAGCAGTAGATCTAGACCCCGGGTTGATAATTAAACTTGCCTGTTACTGCATTCCCGGACTGCGATTCCACTTGGTCGCAGTTTGGTGTTGTGTTTTGGCGTGTCAGCAAAGCATGGTGACCACCAAATATCGGACCTAAAGAACGGGTGTTTCCTGGTGAAGTTTAGGAACAAATTTGATTACGAACATGCCCTCACAGGAGGCCCGTGGTTATTGGGTGAGACATACCTGACAGTGCATAGATGGTACAAGGGTTTCAACCCATGGAAGGCGGAAGTTAAATCCACCATGATATGGGTACAGTTGCCTGAATTGCCGATTGAGTTCATTAATAAAGAAGCAGTATGATCGGACAAGCGATAGGCATCCCAATAAGAGTGGACCGAGCAACGGAATTGGGAGCTAGGGGAAAGTTTGCTAGAGTATGTGTGGAGGTCGACTTAATAAAGCCTCTCCTATCTCAGTTTAAGATTGAACGAGTGACATATTTAATACAATATGAGGGGATTGAAAATATATGTAGTAATTGCGGTATGTATGGGAAGAAGGTGCACCAATGTCACTGTCAAAATGGCATGCAAACGGGAGAGGATGAAGATATGCAGGGAAGGGGACAAGAGACTCCTCCGACTAACCCTACTGAAGGGCAAGTGTATGGGAAGTGGATGACGGTCCGTAAAAAGCGACCGATTCGGAGAGAAGTCTCACCCCCGCTGACGACGAGAAAAGGAGGAGTAGGGGATGATAGGGGAGGCCGGTTCCACGTGCTGCATGGCTATGGGGATGACGTTGAGGGTGGGGAGAAAGGGCACCAGGTTGCAAATGAAAAGCTCCAAACAAGAAAATCTGCAGTGGCGGGGAAGAATGATCGATAGCCCAAGTGAAGTGGAGAGTGGAAGTATGCCAGATCGAGAAAATACCAAAGAGGGCCCAGTGAGGACTAGTGGGAGTAATAAGGGAGGACAAGGACAGGGGGATAAGAGGAGACAAGGTACGAAACCGGGTCAACAGGGACTGGAAAAAAACTCTAAGGAGAAAGGCAGTAATAGAGGGGAGATGGCGGGGAATAAATCGGGGAAGAAGGGGGAGGAGAGTAGCCCCAAACAGCGAATTACGGTGAACAAGGATAGTTCGGAGAAGGCAAAAAATACTGATGGTGTGGGGAACCTATCCCCTTCAGGTTATAAATGAGGATACTTAGTTATAACTGCCGCGGTTTGGGGAGTAAGCGGGCAGTTAAAGCTTTGAGATCGCTCTTGCGACATATCTCCCCGGACATTGTTTTCTTAATGGAAACAAAACAGACAGAAGATGAGAACAAGGTCACAAAAGTTGAGCTGGGTTTCGAGAATGGAGAGAGCTGGTCCACAGACATCTCGGGTGGTGGGAGAGCAGGAGGGGTGAGCTTGTGGTGGAAGGAGGAAATCAATCTACAGATTATGTCTATGTCGCTACATCATGTAGATGCGAAAATAACAGAGAAGCATGATATGGAGTGGCGATTTACCGGTATCTATGGATGGCCTGATGATCGAGAGAAGCACCAGACATGGGAGTTAATGGGTAGATTAGCCCAGCAATGGGAGGGACCTTGGTTGTGTGGTGGCGATTTCAACCAGATCCTGACTGCGGAAGAGAAGGAAGGAGGACGACAGGAAGAAACAAGGGACATGGTAGCTTTCAATGACTGTTTACTGGAAGCAGGCCTGGTAGACATGGGGTTTCAAGGATGTAGATTTACTTGGGCAAACAACAGGACCGTGGGGGGCTTCATCAGGGAGCGGCTTGACCGCTTTCTTTGCTCAGAGTCCTGGTGGGAGTACTTTGCCAAGGCACGGGTTATCAATATGGAAAAGGCCCGATCAGACCACAGGCCGGTAGTGTGTGATACATTGGGGGAAGAAGATGAGGAACCAAAGTGGGGCTGGTCCTTTAGGTTCGAACCACACTGGGCGAAGCATGAGGAATGTCCGGAAGTGGTGGAGGAGGCTTGGAGATCCGGGAGTGTAGGAGATTCACTAACAAAGCTTCGGTTTTGCAGGGACAACCTTGAAGCATGGAGCAAGCGTACGTTTCCCAACTTCCCCCGGCAAAAGGCCAAGATTCGGCGTGTGCTGGCTGCTCTTGATCGCGGTCACATCACCCCGGAGATCATCGTCCAACAAAAACAATTGGAGAAGGAAATGGCGGAGCTCGAGGAAAGCGAAGAACTGTACTGGCAGCAGCGTTCGAGAGCGGATTGGCTGAAGGGAGGTGACAAGAACACCAACTTTTTCCACAAGAAGGCCTCGGCGCGCAGGAAACGCAACACCATCAGGAAAGTCTGAGATGAGACGGGCGAGTGGCATGTAGGAACGGAGCAAGTGTTGGGCTGCATGGTAAATTACTTTTCTCATCTTTTCCATGCAGGGAGTGAACCTGACGAGACCCCGGTGCTGGAATCGGTTCGCTCGACAATCACAAGGGAGCAGAATGAAGAATTGACTAGGCCTTATGAACGCGACGAGGTTTTTGCTCCTTTGAAAATGATGGGAAAGAGAAAAGCCCCAGGAGAAGACGGAATGTCGGCACTGTTCTTCCGGAAGTATTGGCATGTGATAGGAGACGATATCGTAAGCACAGTTATCTCTATCCTGGAGCATGGAGAAATCCCAGAGAGCTTGAATCATACTCTTATAGCGCTAATTCCGAAGGTGAAAACACCAATCTCACCAAAGGAATTTCGCCCTATAAGTTTATGTAACGTTTTGTATAAGTTGGTGGCGAAGGTTATTGCTAACAGACTGAAGAAAGTCTTGGACTCAGTAATCGCGCTGGAGCAGAGTGCTTTTGTACCAGGCAGAGCGATAACGGACAACATTATCGCTGCTTTTGAGTGTTTCCACACAATGAAGAAGCAACAGAAGAGGAGGGGTGCAGGGTACTTTGCGGAAAAAATCGATATGGCCAAGGCTTATGATAGAGTAGAGTGGCATTTCCTTGAAGGAATTATGCGCAGGATGGGGTTTGAAGAGAGATGGATCAGCACGATTATGATGTGTGTTCGTACTGTTACGTACTCAGTGCTGGTCAACGGATATCAGTCGGAGGTTTTCTCGCCAAGCAGGGGGCTACGTCAGGGGGACCCATTATCCCCATATCTGTTTCTTCTATGTGCAGAAGGTCTTTCAGCTTATATGAAAAAGATGGTGGAAAACAAAAGAATTCATGGTATCCAACCGGCTAGAGGAGCCCCTGTTGTCTCCCACCTCTTTTTCGCGGATGACAGTGTGTTCTTCGGGCGGGCAACACAGCAGGAGGGCGCAGTGCTAAAGGACATCCTGAATGCTTATGAAAAAGAATCTGGGCAGCTTGTGAATTTTCAAAAATCACAAGTTTCTTTCAGTAAACAAGTGAAGATGCATCAGCGGCTAATGGTCAGTGGGACACTGGAAATGATGATGGTAGATAAACATGACAAATACTTGGGGTTGCCGACGGTGGTGGGCAGGTCGAAGAAAGAAATATTCGCGGGGCTGATCGAGAGGGTGCGGAAGAAGCTCAAGAATTGGAAAGAAAAAACCCTATCGATTGGTGGCCGGGAGACGCTGATAAAGGCAGTAGCCCAGGCTCAATTTACCTATGCAATGTCGGTTTTTCGAGTGCCGAGTACGATAGTGAAGGAAGTCCATGGATTGATCGCAAATTTCTATTGGGGGCAGCGGGGCTCGGAGCGACGTATCCATTGGATCAGCCACGATGAGTTAACATGGCCCAAGGAGGAGGGTGGTTTGGGGTTCCGGAATCTGTATAGCTTTAATACGGCATTGCTTGCAAGGCAAATGTGGAGTATCCATCAGAGGCCGCAATCCCTGGTAGCTCGGATTCTACAGGCCAAATACTATAAGAAGACGACGATTTTGGAGGCAGCTGTGGGTCATCATCCCAGCTATATATGGCGGAGCTTGATGAGTGCTCAAGAGCTCCTAAATGAGGGAATAAGGTGGAGGATCGGGAATGGGGCATCGGTCCAGATTTGGGGTGATAAATGGCTGCCGGAATCCTCTACCGCGTTTGTAACTTCAGCCCCTATGGGCCTCCCTGTGGACGCTAAGGTGCGGGACCTTATCTCCCCGGAGTTGGACCAGTGGGACGAGACTGTAGTGGAGGCTTGCTTTCCGGCGGAGATTGCTGATCGGATAAAGCAGTTCCCGCTGAGAGGACTGGACGAAGTGGACAGGCAAATTTGGATGGACACGCCTAATGGGGATTACTCGGCAAAATCAGGCTACAAGCTATGGCTGAAGAGGTATAAGGAGGAAAGGCAGTCGTCAGAAGTGGGGGACGCGCACGTTTGGAAGAAGCTTTGGGAGATGGAAGTTCCGCCGAAAGTTAAGCACTTTGTGTGGAGGTTTGCCCGGGATGCTCTGCCGACAGGGGACCATATCAGTATAAAAAGCGAGAGACGAACTGATAAGTGCCCTTTCTGCGATCTCAAAGAGACGCAAGTACACCGTTTCGACGAATGCCAATGGACATCTCGTTTGTGGCGAGGCTGCGAACTGGAGACTTGCTTCTCCCGAAGAGGAAATCGATCGTGTTATGAATGGTTTAAGCTGGTTATTGAGGAGTTGGAGAGAGAAGTGGTGGCAAAGTGGAGCGTTCTACTGTGGTTCCTCTGGAAAGAGCGCAATGCTCATCTGTTCAACAGACCAAAACTAGATGAAGGGGAGATAGTAGCTCGCTCCCAAACTTACCTGGAGGAATACAAACAGCACCAAGAACGGGAGCAGGTGGTTTCGACTCCTTCTGTGAAGCATTGGAAGAAACCGGATATGGGAAAGGTGAAGATTAACACTGACGCAGGATTATTGGAGACAGGGGGGATTGGCCTCGGAGTAGTAATCAGGGACGCCGAAGGAAACTTCATCCTTGCAGCTGCGAAGAAGATCCCGGGTCGTTGGGACGTGGTTACTGCAGAGGCGATGGCGGCAGAGATGGGGGTGAGCCTAGCTCGACAGTTCTACGTCAGCAACCCGATTCTAGAGTCCGACAGTCATATTCTTATTTCGAGACTCTCCGAGGCGAGGGGAAACCAGACGGAACTTGGCACGGTATGTAGAAGTATCACAAGTAAGCTGCTCGAAATGGGCAGTGGGACGTGGATTTTCACCCCGCGAGAAGGAAACAAGGCAGCCCATATTATGGCACATTCGGCTACAAGTTGGAATGATCAGTTTGTTTGGTTAGATAGTCCTCCGATGTTTCTAGTTGATCAGTTAAAGCTGGACAATGTAGCTTCAAGTTCTGCTTAATAAAATTTGCAGATTTCAATAAAAAAAAAAACCTTAAAACTACTTTTAGCCCCTTAGCTACCATTTTAGCTAGGGTTGAAAAGCAATTTTGATGGCTTTTGGCCTTTTAGCCCCTGGTTGTGGACAGCCTAACTGACGAACATAACTAGGGGGCGGGGGGAAGTGCCTCCGTCAAAGAGGTCGTAGCAAAATTAGGAGGGTTCGAGAAGGTAGCGAACAGGCGGGAGTCGAGTTTTTGAGGTAGATCGATCTGAATTCTGAAGATTTCTACCTGTCAATCTTGAATCCCTTCTCTTTGCTTTTTCTATATTGTGGAATTCTACTAATGGATAGAATCTAGCGATTACTGAAATTGGATTGTCTAGGTGTTCGTCGTAGCGAGTCTTATGGTGTCCGTTTAGTCTTACTCCCGTTTTGTCTCGATTCTATTCAGACTTGTTTCCGGTATCCAAGAACAATGGCGGGGGGAAATTTCATGCACAGGGTGTTTTCTTATGTGGTGAATGAGCTTATCGTCAACAGTTTAGCCAACAGGTATAATTCTTGCCTGAACAATCATCCTCTTCGATTAGGGTTTCGGT